TTCGTTTTACTAATATTTACTTTTGAGAAATATTTCGTTATTCAATTATTAATTAAAAATAAGATGAATTTTTGAGTCAGTTTATTGACAAAACAGATATATAGACCAAAAAAATGATTAAACTGTTTTCTTTAAGTGCTTCTCTTCCCATGGATTAAACCGAATAGTTAGTTTTTAAAAAACAACAACTAGAGATCACTGAGTCACATCAAGAAAGAAAGAAAGACTATTTAACGATGAATTTCTTTTCGACGATATTACTTTACTGAAGCTACACAATCCTATTGATAGTTAGAATGGATAGTCAGTCAGTCACAACGTAGGACTTCGTACGTACGTACATCAGTCCGAGTTGCCATACCACATTAACATAGAGATGAAGTCGATTCAAATCCCATAGTGGTAGAAGTGGTAAGAATATAAAGCAGTAATCAGAAAGATTAAGCTTGAAAATGTTATTCAAGGAGCATAATCCAGTGAAATAAATTTGGAAAGAGAAAAAAGATAGGGACATGAAGAATTCAGAAGATTAGAATTTGGTAGAACACAAAGAGTGGGTGTATCTTCACCATTGCAAATGATTTTGAGGCATGTCATTCAAGGTATCTAACCATCGATTGCTATCATCTCGCGCATTCCAACCAGGTAGTCTACACCTACCAACATGGCTCAGTCCAATTGTCAGTGACTTCATAGATTTGTGCCACCTCTTGGTATGGTCGCCCCTAGCTTTCTTCCAACCTACTCCTACACCATAAAACATTGTACGTCGGGACAGTCGGTGGTTGGGCATGCGTAACACGTGTCCCAGCCATCTCAACTGATGAAGTTTCACTACTTCATCAATCGATTTGCCATCCTTACCTAGTACCCGTTTCCTAACAACTGCATTACTTACCCGCTGGTCCCAGGATATACGAACAATGCTTCGAAGACACCTATGATCAAATGGATAAATCTATGATAAAAAGGAAAATATTGCATCTTATAAACGATGATCAAAAATGTTTTGAAGTATCGAAAGAAGCCACCCGAATAGATCAAAATGACAACAGATTACAGATGAATGATAATTGTCAACTTGAAGTATATCAAAGAACTGTGAATATAGAGTAGTGTTGAGTCATAAATTATTTTGGGATATCAAATACAAATAGAAAGTTGTCTCCCGACAACAACTAATGAAAGTGTTAAAATAAAAGTAGTTTATAAGAGAGAATTAAATAAACTTGATTTTTAGATGGTTTTCTGCTTTAATTGACTTCTGCTCGTGAACCGTTGAAATTTAGTAAGAATAAGAGAATAATTTACATATTATTTTAAAATTTTCAAAACCTATAAAAGATATTTGTTTTATAGACAAGACACTGCTTAATCTGAAATGAGATCGCGCCACTTCAAAATTTTAATAACAATCAATGTATAATGAATCATGAAATCCGTTTGTTATACTTTTTGTCCTGACAACATTTGTGATCATGAAAATGGTTGTGTACTTTCCCTTAATAAAAAGCATTCTGACCCTCATTAAACATGTTTTAATGGCGCAGAATGCGTGTTTTTGATCTCACTAGTTGTTCGAAAGGAAATAGATAGTCTTCAGGACCTAATATTTTGAAAAGAATCAATAAACTATTCTCCTTGCTATAAAAATTAAATACAGACTTATGCTACTAACTTATTTAAAAGTAGACAAATTTTTCTGACTGAAATTGAATCTTGTCGCTTTCAGTAATAAAGGCAGACAAGAATTTCACCGTATCGATTATATCAAATTTTCAGGAAAGCAAGAGCTGTATCATAGAATTCAGCTTGGGATTTTAAAATCTATTCTACAATATGATAATAGGTGAAAATTGATGGAAAGTAGTTGCGATTAAGGATGTTATATATTAGGCCATACAAGTAAGTAAATAAGTCAATTGAAGCTAGACAATTGACTCACGCTTTCAACTATGAAAATACTAAATCTTCACAAAACCCCTTCTGATAATAAGCAAATAAGTATCTGAGCCAAAACTAATATACCAGATCAAGATTTTAAGTGTGGTTAACACATACTGCATGTAGTTTAGCTTACTTTTGTTGGCTGTTTTATCATTCGTAACTGGTTTTAGTTCTGCTTAATAGGTAATTATGCTACACTAGTCCATTATTCCAAACGTACTTCGTATTAAACACTTATAATCTTCAAGTGTTATCCACGTGTCATGACAAATTTCCAACTAGTGCACTCATCCATTAACAGGACTAAGAAATTTTCACGATGTAAAGTCCTAAATGAGCTTCAACCAGCCATAATAGCAATTTTTCTAGTCACCAATTGTTTCGAATTTAATATAACCATCACCAGTTGCATTACAGGAAACACGCCATTCTCAATTATTTAACTGGGAGTTTTAAATAAGCAACCTATTAAACATTTTGCACCTGAAGTTCCTGATATTTTCTTAATATTTAATGAAGGCAGCATACTACGAGCTATTTGGGATAGTAAAACCATACAACTTGTGGTATGCAATGTAAAACTAACAATTTCAATGTAGGAGCATGAAGAAAATATAAATCATCTCTATCGGTTAAATAAAAGTGAAAATAATGAATATACCATGTGAATAATAACTATTGTCCTTGACTCAAACAGTTAATCCACACGTACACAATGAATATCTACAGTTCAGAGACCAATGACTTTTAAGTCAACGCTGTCAAGTGACATCTTTTACTTAATGTATACCGTAACTTTCGCGGCGTTGTATGGGCTTGCTTATATTTTATTATGTCTGTAACTCATTGTGTCTGCTGAGTGCTTAACTGACCAGTGTTTGAAACTGAAACCCACAATCTGAAGTTGCGTAGTGAGAATACAGGAACTGCAAATATGGATTTATTTGACTACTGAAATAAGTCAAACTCACATACGAATACACCACATTTTACATGATTTATTTACAGGTAGATTTGTATAAATCTACTTGAATGGTATTTAACATCAATGAATCAATAACTTACTGTTTGAACACATAACTACCATACTCATACAATTGAACAACGATAACCAACAAATACAACGAATTGGTTAAGCTATGTAATTACTTCTTTTTAAAATATGATTACATTTGACGAACAAATGGAGAAAAGTCGATTTCATACGTTAATCGCACGTCAATCAACTGGGCGATCGCTCACGATATAAATATGAGTCGGATATTAAACGAAGGAGAACAGAATTATTATATCGGTGATTTTTTAATCTTAAAAAGTTTCTGACTTCAACTTACATTTTATTTGCCCCTGTTTGTTTAATGAAATCGATGGTCTTAACAATCGCGGTTATTACTGTTTTAATAAGAATAAAAAGTAAGGAACATTTCGTGAGATTATGTTTTCTATTAATTATGAACAATAATGATTTAGCGGGCTCTGGTTGAATGGTTTTGATTGTGGTCTCTGACACAGAAATTATGCTCGAGATAAGCGATGCACATATATATATATACGAACGAAGTGCAGGGGATCAATCTAAACTCTAAAGTCACATCAGATCCCTAAGTGGATGGAGAAAATGATTTGCAATACTTCTCCCTCGCCACTGTTAAGCGAATCAAGATGACCAATGGTTTCTTGGATGTACTTTGTTCGCATGGACCGTACAAAACCAACAACATAAATTCATTTATCTATTAAATTGTGGCTTTGAATATGAAAGCAGTTATACATGAAGCAACTGATGTTGTCTATACCCTTCATCAAATAAACTTATTTGTAACATTTAATTTTATCGAACAGCTGATTCTGTAATGATGCTTGATAAACCAGAATCCTCCTTTAAGGTAACTGACAAGCCCCAGAACATTTTTATTAACCGGAGATTGGCAGCTCATGCTTATTTTTGTGACGCTGTTGAGTTTTTCGAGCTAGATGTCTTAATTGAAGAGTTTTTGTCGCTCTGAACACCAGCACCTGTTTTGTGACAAAATCATTTATTCGATGAATCAATTACCCTAAAAACCATCGGTTGTCAAGACCCGTCACAAAACAACAATTATGCATGCTAAACAAAACCTTGATTTTCTCAAAATTGGTATAAAACTCTGTTATTTGGTGTTTCAAAGAATCCTGTATATGTATAGTTATGTAGATCTATCAGTGCCTTGTAGAATGCTGCGTTTATCAAAATCTTCGTATTTCCACGGTATATTCCGTAGCCTTGTATAAGTTCGAAATTATGACCGGGCTGAAACTATATTCTCGATTCTTGTTTCTAGTATTCATCTATTCTGAATAGGTATTATTTTTATTCTGTGGAAACACGATACTGTTTTTGAGAAAATTCAGCATGATAATCTGTGATAATCAGGAAGTTTGTTCCAAAATGACTAGCAGGATTATCACATTTAAACTAAAATAAAAGCCTTTCAGTTGGGATCAAAATGTGACAGACAACAGTTGTTTTCCAAAGGAAATCCCAGTAGCTTTCTGGAAGTAAACTCCTACTAGTTGCATGATTCTTAAACCAGAATTTAAATCAATAACACTTGTTGCGAGTTAAATTATCTTCTGTCTGTTCAGATACTTGGTTGCAACCACATTTTCAACCTCTAATTTCAGCTGAGAACGAGAACCAAAGACATTTAGTGTCTAAATTATTATAGTCTAGTTATTCGAGTTGTGCTTTAACTTTCCATAACCACTCGTTTGGATCAGTATGTTACACATTGTGCAGTATCAGAAACGCTCAAGGTGTTTAACGAATATTACATTCTTCTCGATTGATACATTTTATGGGAAGTTTGTCATTCACGCTGTGTTATGTAAGTTAATCAAGCGGATTATTTTAAACCATTTTGTATGTTAACAGAGAGAAAATCAGAAATTTACTGTAATATTTAACTTAACTTAACTCAGCTTGAAAACGTGACACATAACTTAAGCTCAATCCTTTCGACTGAATTTCGCATAGAACTTCAGAACAGTATTTAGGGAAATCAAGGCAATCTCAGAAAAAAGATTTATATTAGACTAAGATACAAAAAAAACGAGAAGGAATAAAAGAACCAAAACATAGTAGCAACTATTACAAAGACGTAGTGCTTAACATACTCATGAGTAAAAAGTAATGCAGATGATTAAAAGATTTCATGCAGTTCAACTTACAACAAAACAATTTGAGTAGGAATGAGCAAATACAAAGAGAAATAAACTGAGTTCCCTGTAGACAAAAGAATGAAGAAAAATTTCAAAGTAAATTAGTGACTATTCACCAATACATTATTAACTGGTGAATGAGAACGTATTACATTTGCATCGGAATTCTCATCATCTTGATGTTTTGTAGTGTTGTCACTCGGGGTTTGAGAATTATTAACTGGCCAGTTCTTTTGACAGCTGCTAACCTATAAAACAGAAATGTGAAACCAATAGAAAGATGGGGATTGCGAAATAAACCAGTGGTAATACACTACTTAGAATAGTGTTATACATAAATTATGTTACAAGATATACACCCCCATCGCTTCGGATCAAAATAGGCACCAATATTTCCAGAAGTAATTGAAGAACCCTAGTCAGTTCATACTCTACAATTAAAAGGTGGGATTCAATGCGTAAAGCCGATTATTTATTTTCAAGTCTGAAGAAGTTGAAAAAATAGTGCTTCGTTTGTGATTTGGCTTACGATAAGTTTTTTTAAATTTAACTTGCGCATTAACAAGTGGTAAATGATGGTAATGACAATGAACTTTGTCATCTTATCTAAGAAACATCCTTAGTTTTTTTGATAAATTTAGGGGTGGCTCAGAATAGAAACCAGTAAGAATTTTGTTGTGGTTTTATTTCACATTGGAAAAAGTGAGAACTTGCTTAACTGAAGGAGATCTTTCAAATGGTGTTTCGGTAAGACGATAATTTATGGACGACCTTAGAGTAACGCTAAAATGAACTTGGAATGTCCACCTACTTAATAGGGTTAAATGAGGGTTATGTATGAGGAATCAATATTAAGATTTACAGTTGGATGTTAGGGTTAGAAATTTAATTTAATGTTTTCATTGCGAACTAACATAAGCTACAATGACAAAATGGTATTTAGCCAAATGAGTGAGTGAATTTTGCGCCGAAATTGAGGTTGTCAATGGACTTATTTCTTACCTATGGATAAATAATACAATATAGAAGTATGGCAAAAAGTTAATATTTTTTCTGGATTCGAAAAGGAAACGACATATGAAGAAACGATATATGAATTAAACTGGTAATCATTGACCAAGTCACCCACTTTAAATGCAACAAAACAACCAGAAAATATAAAACTTGATTTAACAACTCATACTATTGAATAGTTTCCTTTTAAACTACATTCATCCCACATTAAAGTACAAGATATTGACAATCAGAAGGGTTAAACTGAACGTACTCTTTCTCCCATTGTGACAGCCATACCCTGTGTTTTAGCTCGAATTCGTACATGACCAGTTACAGGTTGATCAGCTTCCGCTTTTTCCAAACATAAATTAGCTAAAACATGTTCGCCAAATATTGTCTTGGCATAAAGCGTCACGCAAAGATAATCACAATCACCCGAAAGAGCCTCAGTAGGTGTTAGGCAACGTAAATTCGTATGTCTTGTAATTTGAGACAAATAGGTGAACAGATCTTTGATTTGCGTATTCACAGTAACCTGAAATGATCACAAAGAGCCTTAATAAGTAATTGAGCATAAATTTACATGAAAAGAAACAAGCTACAACATGAATCGATTGAACATGACTCAAAAGAATAAGTTGATGTGATAATTTCGTCTATATATTCATTCAACCTCAAAACATTTTGTTATGAGTTTGATGCTCACCTTATTCTCCCATTCAAATTCAGACCACATTTGACGAAATTCACTTGGTGTACAAGTGGCCGGCATAATGTACTCCATGATATCAATATGAATATCATTTAACACAATGCAAGTTGTTTCGCCAGATGAACCCCGAACATCGTAAGAAATATTTCCGAAGATGATACCATTTTCAGTGGAAGAAACCTGAAAACATATATAAAATGCAATTAATTTAATCAGGTTGAAATGTAAATTAATAAGACAGTGAGTTCGATATTCAACTGGGCACATTGTAAATAAGTAGTAGAATAAATAAATAAATAATATAATCAATATTTAGATCGTCTAATATAAAGCTTTTTTGGATTTAGCTAATGAGTTTTATCACCAAACCTCAAAACTTTTTTTAGATACCTATTTGTTATGAATTTAAGAAAGAAGCTGTCTCCAATTTGTTGTGTTTTTATGCCCGCCTTTCTATCACGTGAATTATCTAGCAATCGGAATACGACATTTCCAATCTTAACACTTTGCCAAATCAATGACGTTCGACTAGTATGAGCAGTCTAGCGTCCTTATTAGCCCCTCGTCTGCCTAGCCCTTCCAATTGAGTTCAGAGCACCAATTACAGCTTCTGCTATGCGAATCATTTATTTCAAGCATACTTGGTTTATATACCAGACAGACAGACCGCATCATACCATAAAATAGAAAATAATATTTGTACGAGATTAAGCCAAAATGCGGCTGTGAACGTGGGAGACAATAATCAATAAACTGAATATAATTTAGGGGCAGTAATTCGTACAATAATAATCTATGGGTCAAAATGAGGCTTATAATAAGATGAATATAGATACATACAACCTAATCACTGTATAGTTATACAATAACAATATACATAGAATAATAGTCCATTAATAGGTCCCGGAAGTTACCCGTACTTATGTCTTCGCTAGGATATAACACTGTTAAAAAGCAATAGGATAGAAAAATTCATTGTGATAATTTTTTGTATTTTTCAGTAATTTTACGATAACTTTAATATAATATTTAATAAAAATTATACATAATATAGGATACAAACTAACCTTAATATTTGCTTTGATATTAGCAAAATCTTGAGGTGCAATTGTTAATGGACTAGGTTTTTCAACCAGACGTAAATCGCCTAATGTAGACAGTTCTAATGTTAAATTTTGCAGTGTATCTTTGGTTTGATTAACAACTAATACATCTAACAAAATATCGAATTGATTCACATGAACATACGCTTCTGCGTATACAGGATCAGAAAAGCCAGTTAATTGGTGAACCTAAAAATTTTTGAAAAGAAAATAATTGATTCACTGAAGAAATGTATAACTTTGACAACAGCATAGAGTAATAATAATTATTATTATATTTTGTGTTTGTGAACCAGTAATATCATTCAGGTGTCCAAACTGAAGTAGACAGAGAGGGTTTCAAATCCGTAACCGAATGAAGTCGCAAACTTAGAGGACAGAACGCTGAATAACTTGTATGTGTAATATCTTGTTAATTAAAAAACTGCCAGATTTAAATCAGCTACCAAAATAACCTGATCAATGGTTGTAGTCTAGGTAGTAAGCACTTGGAAGAATTAACTGGGTGGTATGGTACACAATCAATCACAGTGACGCAGATGGATTTACTCCTTATATTCTTTTGGATCTTCAGTTAAAGTATTCCTTCATACATATTTTTTCCTTTATTTTTCTCACAATGTTTATCCATTCCCAGTATTATCGGTACTTCGATTATCGCAACTGCTGTTATTCATTTCGTTGATCTCATTTTGTTTAGGTGACTTAGTATGCCAACTTGGGCACCGCAAATTTCTGCCAAGCTCTACATTGATTATTACTGACTGACCTGGATATTACAAAAATTCATCATATGAAGCATGGTTTATATGATCACTTGATAAGAGTTAAATTTTATTTGGAAACAATTATATAGGACTATAGGTATTTTAAAACTTCTGTAACTTGGTCACTGAGTACAAATACATGGACGTAACCCTGATATACACTTTTATGTGAGTACTAGTGACATTAACCAGCCGTCCACACCACACTGGGTAGAAAGGTTTGAACCTGGGATCTAGTAGTTAAAGGGAGAGGGATTTAACCAATGAGCGATTGCCTGTTTAGTTTGTAGATATGAAGGAATCCTAATTAAATCTACTATTTCCAATAATATCAAGATGTGAGTACCTAAAAACAGACAAGTTCATACAGATAACGTTTGTTTACTTTACCTTACTGAGCTTAGATGTAGCATAAGCATCACCAGCATTTCCTTTTCCACCTGCACCCAGTGCTTGGCTAAGTGTTAAGTCAAAACGATCTACTGTGTCACCAAACTCAGTTTGGCCAGTAAGTAGAGAGAATTTGATAGGCGCGTCCGCACGATTCAACTCAGCCAATTGTTTTTGATGCTCAATTAAGCCTTGATTACGAGCTTTAGCATTGTTTCTACGTTCTGACTCTTGGTATGTAAGCATTTCAGTAAGGCAGCCACGAGATGTATGTTCGAAAGCCTCTAAGACTTCAGGACGACGATCAGCCAAGATCTGTACAAATGGAAAAGTAAAGCCAAAAATTGTTTGGTTACGTAACATTAATTATAGAGAATTCCAGAAGACATAGAACTAACGTTAATTATGGAGAGCTTTCCTCGATGTTTTCCACTTTCTATTAGTCCCCACCGTTTATGTAGTCCGAGAAGAATGGTCAATAGATAAGATCCTGAGCTACTAAGTCCAGTAAGTTGCCTGCATAGATCCGGGGTTTTGAAGTACTATCATAAGTTAACTTGATATACCTAGCTTATACTCAAACGTGAAACTTTCAGAAAATGAGTTATCAAACCTCAGTATTACTAGCATTCTGTAAAACAATCAAGTAGATAATATCTCATTGAGACTTTGTATTGCTTACATAATGCTTTAGATGTCAGTACTGTACCACTGAGTTATACTGGCCGCCTGTTCATGTAAAGAAATCAGCAATGGGAACAAGGTTGGTCATTATAACCACAGAGAGGCATTCATCTTAAGATAATTTATTTGATATTACTAGAGCTGGAAGGTAGTACAAATTGAATTTGAATCTCATGTTGACGGTTGACGGTTGACTGTTATTTATAAATCGGACAATTCGCTTATAAGGAGAGAAATTTCGGTCACTGATTTTGTCTAACTATGACTACCGGTATTATATTATACATTATTCATCATTGAAGTAAAATGATTTACCATCACGTATTAATAAAACAAGTAGGCAAAAATCAAAACAAAAACTCCATAAGATCAAAAATTATCCTACCTTTAGACAAATCCACATACGATCCAAGTGGTCAGGATTTACTTGATGGGGAAGTAGTCGACTAGTAGCCAAATGTATCATACTCGCAATGATAAGCATACATTCAGCAGCGAATGAATTTTCTTTTGAAGTTATTTTACTTTTTGTGCTTTCATCTTTAACAGTTTTCATTTGTTCTTGTTTAAGAATCAATGAATATCGATAAAATAATTTCACTAAACAGGCAGATAATACAACTCCAGGCATATAATGTGATTCGAATAGAGCTGCTTGTAGGACAGGTCGTTTTATTGCATTTACAGAGCTAGAATCTTTATTCGAACCTTAAATAATTTTAAAAATGAAACGGGGACAACTAATCAATTGGTGATCACTTTTAACATGGATAGATCTGCTGTTTCATAGGACAAATATTTTAAACAATTCACGTGTTCATTAGAGTAAAAAATCAAACGTCAAAAAGTGTGATAGATTCTTTATCATTTCCTACAGTTAAATTCAATTACGGTGCACGCTCCCTGAGGCTGAAACAACATGCACTATACATGTTAAAACCACTGAACTTAGTGTTTCAAGGTGGAACACTCATTGAATCATGATATCTACTGGGCCCAAACACGTGGTAGCAGATTTTCAGGTTACTTACAAGGTGTTGTACACCTTATGCTTAATTTCGGAAATGGCTAGAAACAAATAGGTCAGAAAAAAATAGATGATAACATCATTTCGTAAACATTAAGTTTAAATTATTAGCACAAAATGGCTTTCTGTCTGCTTGAGCAATCCTAATTTCGGAACAGTGGTTTTGTGATCAAAGAACTCCGTTTTTAACAAACAGGTCATGTGTTCATCTTGTTATTTTCATCTTATCTTGCTAATGAGGTATAGTTGCTTAAGCCAACACATGTCTATGCCAGGCTCTATGTTGATGTCTGTCTGATTGAAGTTCTAACACTTTCATCTACTTGAATTTAAAGACCCACGTATTATCACTACCTTGTTCACAAAGTGCCTCTTCAAAACGAGTTAATAAACCTGTTTTTGGTAAATGAACTACACTGATATTAAGTACTGCTTAATGTGCACTAAATTAGGCTGTTAATATAGTTAATATGATCATCTAGTTGGTTTTTGTAGGAGGGACAAGCTGTTAAGTTTTGCTGGTTGAACAGATGAAGAAATAAGTATATATATATATAAATATATATATATATATATTTCTGTCTAGTTATACATTTTTAATGTACAGCAACTCGTGTTGAAGCCCTATTGTATCCGTTACATCAATCGGACGTGTTAGTTTTCCTTACCTCACAATTTTGCATGGTATCTTATTGTGTCTCGGGTATCTGAGTCACTATGAACACAATAACATGGCGAAGATAATCTTGGCTGAGTAAGTGAATGCTTAGCTGATGATTTTGACGATAGATGATGACATATCAAATACCATCTTCAGTGAAACATCGAAATAGAAAATTTCGGAAATTCGGGGTTTGAATTACAACCAATGACGTCTGAATCTTAAAAACATATCTAAATGCATTATATTCTAAAACAAAAAATATTGATTTATGTAACCTACGAAGAGTGAGAGCAGATTGAGTTGCGTATGTCCCATCTGCGGTAACACGTTGTGCTGGATTGACACCAACATTTACATCACCTGAAATTAGTACGGACGGCTGGCTTTGGTTTTCAGCAGACGAGTCCACTGGATTCGCTTGACTGGCCTGTCTGCGTAACTCCTCATCAACAAGTGGTAGCTCGCCAATAACCTTGGTAAGATGATAGTCAAAATGCGAATAAAGAAATTAGAAATAAATAAATAAGTATATATATATATATATATATATATATATATATAATGAAGCATGCACCTGGCTTCGTGCTGGACTACATGTACCCCAGCTTAGTGGTATTTACCCTAGGCTTCAGCGGATATTATTTTCTTGACCGGGGAACCTAGCCTGTCGTATGCCCTGGCCGTGTTCTAGAATAACTTTCGGGTTGCCTGATCTGCCAAGGGGGACGGGACAGCATGATGGTATTGTTGTGTGCTAGGTTCAAATCCGCCCCGTTATTGTTCTCATATGCCCCAAATGCGCTGCTGCGGACGAGAGTGGGGAGGGCCCGCCCTCTCTCGAAATGCTCTCACACGACCACGCGTATACAGCCTCTGCCGGGGAAGTCCCTACTCACTGCCTTCTCGTTGCGGGGATGTTGTTTACGAAATTGAAAGGACGAAAAGCAAATGTCTGGTGCTTTAACAGGGTTGGTGGTCACGAGGGGGAGTTGGAAAACCCTCATTCCAAACTAATGGTTCACATGAACTCTAGTATCCTGAGGGAGCAAATGGCGTATGAACCAAATGCTCCGGGTGTGGCCCCCTAAGGAAACCACCTGCTTCAGTTTGGGGACTCGGGCAGTATCACAGCCCTCGCACAAATCAAATGAGATTTGTGTGGCACATATATATCTGGTGTACCCTTGTACCAATATTTATGTGTTTAAATAAATAAATATGCCGTAAATTCTAATTTACATAAATGTTATCTGAGCTCGAAAATTTGATCGCGACTCTCTGTTGTATTTTTGCTTAATAATATTAGGATAAACTTCCAAGGGAAGTGAGGAGTCAATATTTCGCTGTATATGTTATTATTTTATTATATTTTTATTTATTTAAACACATATATATTGGTACAAAAGGGCACCAGGTACATATGCGCCACACAAAATAATGAAAGTAGGAAGAGAAAGGATGAAAAGATAAGGCGGACTAAAATGTACAACCAGAAAACTCTTTCAGTTAAGAAAGTTAGAACCACTCTTTATGTAGAAAGTAAATGAAGGTTGCAGCAGGATCGCCACTGGCTTCTATTCTGAGCCATATCTGATAACGTCTCTAGCCACTGTGTTGCACCATCTCTCGGACCCCAGCCAAGGAGTCGTGAAGGACCAACAGAAGCTAGCCCTTTGCAGCTCTCTTTCATGCCACGACACCATGTCATACACTGACCTCCTCTCCGCTTTTTCCAACCAGTCCCAGAGTCGGCAAATAATGCACGACGTGGAAGCCTCTGGGACGACATTCGTAAAACATGTCCAAGCCACCGAAGTCGGTGTTTCAAGATGGTGACACCAATTGAATTATCGTCTCGGCGCCCGAACACACGATGCCGAACCTCTGCATTACTAACATGGTGTTGCCACTGTATGTCAGCAATCCTTCGGAGACAACGATGATCGAACACAGAGAGACGTCTAACATCCTCAACTCGGAGAGGCCAGGTTTCACAAGCATAGAGCAAAACTGCTCTCCGACCTTTTACAGCCAGACTAACATCACGAAGGCGCCAAAGATGGCCCAGATTGGCATAAGCCGCTCTGGTTTTCCTTATACGTGCATCAATCTCATCTTGTAGGAGTACTTTGCACTTGGAGGGTGCAAAGCACATGCCGTACCTGCGGACACTGATTGCCAACTGATTAAGTGCTGATTGCATGCCTTGGGCATTATCGCACAGTAAGACAATATCATCCGCATACTCAAGGTCGAGAAGTCGTTCTCCAGGCAACATATCCACACCGCCATTACTTACATCCATCAGAGCTGTTTCCAGGATGTCGTCGATGGCAAAGTTGAAGAGGAATGGTGAGATCGGGCAACCCTGCCTAACCCCACTGCTCGAATGGAACAAGGGAGAAAGGTGGTTGTATGCCCTCACTCTGCCTGAGGTGTTCGTATACAGGGCCTTTAAGATGTTAATGAACTTCTCAGGCACACCCTTCTTCAATAGACAATCCCAGAGAACAGTCCTGTCCAACGAATCGAAGGCAGCCCTGATATCAAGAAACACTACGATTGTTGGCCTGTGATAAGTATGACGGTGTTCTAACATTTGGCGGAGGGTGAAGATGTGATCAATGCATCCTCGACCAGAACGAAAACCAGCCTGCTCCTCGCGAGTCAATCGTTCTCGGGTTTTAAACAACCTACGAAGAATGATAGAAGCCAATAGTTTGGACGCAATCGGAAGTAGACTTATCCCCCGATAGTTATTACAGGAACACCGTGAACCCTTTTTAAGGATAGGGACGACTATCGGCTCATTCCATGATGTTGGAACACTTTCTAGTTCCCAAACCTTTCCAAACAACACCGTCAGTTCCTTAGCCAGAATGTCACCACCATCTTTAAAAAGAGCCGGAGGTAAGTCATCTGGGCCCGGTGATTTGTAGCGCTTCAAGAGTTGGAGTTCCTTGCGGACTTCCGCCTCGTTTGGTGGATCAGTCGTCACCGGCCATGGGGGGCAGGACAAGCTGGTTGATGTTGCCGGAGCAACAGGCCAGTTGGACTGCCCTTCGAAAAATTCAGCCCATCGTCCAAGACGTCGAGAGATGTTAGTGATTGGCATCCCATCATCCTCGTAGATTGTTTCACTCACACCAGACTTCTTGCTGCCAGTGGCTCGGATGAGTTGGAAGAGCTTCCGGCAGTTACCAGATGCAGCTGCTGCTTCCATCTCATTAGCACGCTCCGACCACCAGGCTTCTCGGTCCTTACGCAAGCTTTACCCGATTTCATTACGTAACAGCCTTCGTTTGTGGTCAAACTCACGGTCACCCGGAGTAGACCGACGGGCTTCCATCAGTTGTAAGGAGCCAGAAGAGACCCAGTGCTTGTAAGCGGGACGTTTCGCGAAGCCGCAAGCGGCTTTACTCGCCATTTTCATGGCGTCGTGAACATGCAACCAATGCTCATCTATACTTTTCGGTGGGATGGTAACTAGCCTAGAGGCTAACTCCGCTCGATACTTACTTGCAACAGATGTTGCAGCCAGTTTACTAACATTGATCCATTGGTGGTGGTCAATCCTTCGGCCACTGAAAAGTAAGGTGAGATTGGCGCAGACCAGGGCATGATCAGACTCCAGATAGGTACTCCAAAAGGAGCGGCAATCTTGTACACAACCACGCCAGCGGTAGCTGATCGCGATGTGATCAATCTGAGTCTAGGCTTGAGATGCAGAGGGAGGACGCCAGGTGGCACACCGGCGATGACTGTGCCGGAAGTTAGTGCTAGCCAGAAACAGGTTGTGGTCTGTGCACAGTTGCAGCAAACGGTCCCCGTTATCTGTCCTGCGACCAACAAGTCCCCATCGGCCACCTAAACGACTCTCTTCTGTGCCTAGACGCCCGACCTGAGCATTCAAGTCTCCGGCTAATACTACAATATCTGTCGAACGCGCTTTCTGGAGAAGAACTGTTAACTGGTGTTAGAACTCATCCTTGATTGCATCCGGGCTGCAATCTGTCGGGGCATAGGCGGGGATGACGAAAAGACACCGTTTCTCACGCCGGTTTCTTCTCACTTTGATGGAACTTTCTAATCTAACAGCACATAACCGACTGTTAATGGGGATCCAATCGATTAGTGCTGCCTCAGCCCTAGCGCTTAGTGCAACACCAACGCCTGCAAGACCAGACGAAGATGCCACAGAGTCCCCGGATAAGCGCACGTGAAACAAGCTTTTCGAAGTGACAGATGGAGAGCGAATTTGTAGTACTGCACTAGAGTCTTGAATACGGGTCTCGGATAGATAGCAAACATCAACATTAAGACTTTCTAAAGACAGCCAGCCCTATCTGTTGTCCGATCTGCATTAGTGTGCGAACGTTGAAGGAAGCCAGCTTGAACGGTGTACGCGGTTTCAGAAAGACTGCTTCAGTATTCATAATCAGTGGAAACATTCACTTTCAACCAGACAGTGACTGGAGATCGTTTAGATAGGACAGAGTTTCCACCATGGGCGAGCTACTGCATAAGTTGGAAAGGAAGGATACACAATTTGAGAATAAAGGGAGTGAAAAAGCGACGTAGTAAATAATAGTAATAATAATAATAATGGTAATAATAATAATAGTGTAAATTGTCTTGCTTCTAGTGTGAGCGAGAATAGTATCGTCAATAGAATTCATCATTTCATTTATTTGTGTATATGTTAGAGTGTTGGCAGTTTGTTCCAGTGGTCTGGGATGGTCTTTGTAATGGAGCAATTTGTGTGGTGCAATGGTTTCAGTAGCAGTTCCGATCCTGTTCTATCATCCTGAAACCTAATAAATCATTTTCTACTTTTATTGACCTCATAAGGGTCAAATGAGTAGAATTTCGTTTTCTATTTGAAGTACCGTAGCACACTGTATGTTGTGTATATTTTATAAGTAAAATTATGTTCAATAATTTCACTTTCTCATATTTATTGTAATTTGACTATGAATCTCGGTTAATTTACACCCCACATAATTAGTATCTTGAATCCCCTTGAGCTATTGAATAAATGTTTTGTCCCAAATGCTACCTTTTTGAAGCTGTGAACGCAAAGAAAATTTATCATCCACAAAGTTTACATACTGATGTGGATCGGACAACAAACAGATTTCGGTCAATAAACTGGAAAGCAGTATTATTGATAAAGTCGGCTTGAGACTTTTTGCCGTGTTGCAAATAAGTTCTTGATATGTCAATTCAAAACGCATACTACATATACATTTTCAAGAGGATATTGCACGGAAGTAACTGGGAATAAAATAGATAACATCTGCAACTTGCAGCTATGCTATTTCCAATGATTGCAATCGGAATGCAACTAGAGATAAATTCTACAAACTACTGAATAGCATTGTTGTGATGACCCAAAATGTGGCGGTCAAACATTTACAAACAATCAGATGGGACTTTTTAGTTGCACATTCAATAACAATAATAATTCATCCCAAATGCTTGCAGATTACAAACTTTTTGATCGGCACCACCTTTTGACAGATAATACCTAGCGTCGATACCCAATATTTTCTACACAATCAAATCTCATTATTTCAAGATGCTGCTGTATTCGGTTACTAACGGTGTAAACTTCGATTTGGGCACCTGAGTAGTATTCCAGCCCTCACACAAATCGAATGATTCATGTGGCTCACATCTGTTTGGTGCCTCCTTATACCAATGCTTATGTGCTTAACAGAACTATCTATCCTTCTTCGGTACGTGACTGGATTATCGTATCCTAGTCAAAGCTAAACAATCATTTAGCGTTTCACTAGTTGCTAAATTACTACACTACATCGGTAGACTAACTAATTTAAGCAAATGTTAAGTGAACAAGATTTTGGATAAGCTATCGATCCACTGACTAGTACAAAAAAGTCATCAGTACTTAATTCGTGTTAAGGATAAACGAGTTAATTCATCCATAGCTTTTTAAAATGTTCCCATTAAAAATGTGCTATGTATCTGTGAGTTCCTTGAAATGTTTCCACGTATGTTTGTTTACTTCAACAGATAAAGAGCGTTGCCATCAAATGTAGAAAATTTCATAACGTCTACATAAAAACTTTGAAACATAGTCATAGAGTAAGAAGAGGCCGCAGTTGATAAGTATAATAGCAATCAAAAGATTTCCCAACATACACAATCCATTAGAAAGTAGACTGACAAAACTATATTTAATTTAATGCAACTCCTTTATGAAGTACAATTTTGAGCTACACTTTGTTTGATTAGTGACGCTGCCCAGCTACGCAAAGTCAAATAGGTAAGGCCATTTTAGGAACTGTTATATACTAGTTGGAAGCCAGGCACTTTAACCACTAACCCAGTCGTACCAGTGAAACAATTGTTAAATAGTACCCTGATCAACGATTTACAAAAACGTAGTGAAAGTTGGATTAGCACTTTAAAAATGTTTATTTAGATTACTTCAGGATTTGTCTTTAAATCAGTATTTAATCCACATGGTCTCTTAATAACAAACTTTCTAACACAGCAGTCTCGAAATAATACTGAATGCCAATAAAAAGGCACGAAAACTCAAATGACTTTTTCACGGTTGTTCTCAATGAAGATGATACTCTGATGAAAGAAGTTACTGGGGTTTCCGAAAATAAATGATTTGGGAGCGTTATGATAAGTCAAACTAACCTGGCGAATAAGAGTCATAAAGGAGTTAATTTCTTCATAAGTAGTACAATATTCACCAAAAATCCACACTAAATGTCGAAGAGTTTCACGGCCGACAATCGATGGAAAAATTTGCATCAATTTTTCCAAAATTTCGGCCTTTCTTTGAGGAAATCGCTCCAAAATTTCACGTAAAAACTTACAAGCCTCGTTCGCAGCTCGTGTATCGCCAATTTCTTCGTAGGTCAGGATCTTGAAAATTACAAATAAATACAACAGTTGTTATACGATGTGTTATTTATTTATTAAAACATGTAAACATTGGGGCAAAGAGGCACCAAATAGATATGCGCCATATGAATCGTTCGATTTATGTGAGGGCTGGGATACTGCCCAGGTGGTCAAAATGAAGCAGGTGGTTTCCTTAGGGGGCCACACCCGGAGCCTTCGACCCAAAGGTTTGATCCACAAGGCAGTGGAGCATCGTAAGGAGATGCAGTCCCATGGAAGCCGGTGACCAACGATTGGTACATACGCCATTTGTTCCTTCAGGATACTAGAGTCCATGTGAACCACTAGTTTGGAATGAGGGTTTTCCAACTCCCCCTCGTGACCACCAACCCTGTTAAAGCACCAGACATTCGCTTTTTGTCCTTTCAATTTCGTAAACAACATCCCCGCAACGAGAAGGCAGTGAGTAGGGACTTCCCCCGCAGAGGCTGTATACGCGTGGTCGTGTGAGAGCATTTCGAGAGAGGGCGGGCCCTCCCCACTCTCGTCCGCAGCAGGGCATTTGGGGACGATTTAGCAACTAGTACGATTAAACTAGAAATTATGCAAGGAGAAAATGAAGTCTCACTAAAGTTAAGAAATGCATATAACGTCACAGTAGAATCACACAGAATAAATTGACGACGAAAACAAACAAACCTAACGTAGCACAAAGTGTATATTTTTACACTTAATAGCTCTCTGAGTCTGAATTTCAGTTAAAAAGTCTCGGAACAACCCAAACGCCATCAATAAATTACATGAAAATACATAAATGTCGCTTATATCCCCCTGTCTGAACATGAGGTGTTGTAGATTCGGTTGATAACCACTTATGCTAGGTTCTACAAGGTTTGTGACCGAATCATTAACTGACTGATATGCACCAAGAAGTTGCAGTGATAAAGCTGAAACTTTTACTATGTGAAATGGAATATAACCAACCTAGCACTTAGAGAAATGTGTGGATCTAAGGTGACACATCATAACAGAATGCTGAAAGTTAACAAGAGGGAAATCAAAGAAGTAGGGATGATAACAATAACAGCAGTGGAACATTAAAAAGGATAGAAACGGCGAAAGAAACAGCATAAAACATAGAACAAAAGGTAAAATAATTTTCATGGCTAAAAGGAATATACAAATGAATGATTATGGAGCCATTTTAATCCATCATTGATTATCGTATGGACTTCAATTAGACGATAACGGCAGCCAATGGTTGGAGACAGTGAATGTAGGGTGTGGTAACTTGTATCAATACACATTTGTGCTAGGTTCTATGTTGGCTGACTGATGTGACAAAACTTAGAACTAGTCGCAGTAGTGTTGTTGCATACATTGATCTTGGATACAAAGGCGAAATGAACTGGATCAGTCAGTCAGTCACAACGTAGAACTTCGTACGTACGTACATCAGTTCGAGTTGCCATACCACATTAGCACAGAGATGCAGTTGTCGATTCAAATCCCATAGTGGTAGAAGTAGTAGGAGTATAATCAGAAATCCAAAAGATTAGGGTTTGAAGAAATTATTGAAGGAGTATAGTACAGTGAAATAAATCTGAAAAGAGAAAAAGATAAAGACATGGGGAATTCAGAAGATTAGAATTTGGTAGAACACAAAGAGTGGATGCACCTTCGCCATTGCAAACGATTTTGAGCCATGTCATTCAAGGTCTCTAACCATCGGTTGCTGTCATCTCGTGAATCCCAACCAGGTAGTCTATACCTACCAACATGGCCCAGTCCACTTGTCAGTGACTTCATTGATTTGTGCCACGTTTTGGTCTGGCCACCCCTAGCTTTCTTCCAACCTACTCCTACACCATGAAACATTGCACGTCGGGGCAGTCGGTGGTCGGGCATACGTAACACATGTCCCAGCCATCTCAACTGATGAAGTTTCACTACTTCATCAATCGATTTGCCATCCCTACCTAGTACTCGTTTCCTAACAACTGCATTACTTACCCGGTGGTCCCAGGATATACGAGCAATGCTTCGAAGACACCTATGATCGAACACTAGTAGCCTACGAATATCCTCTACTCTTATTGGCCATGTTTCACTGCCATAGAGTAGGACGGAGCGAACTGCTGCACAGTAAACCCGTCCTTTGGTTGCTAGACGGATATCTCGCCTACGCCATAAATGACGCAAGTTGGCGAAAGCTAGACGAGCCTTCTGTATCCGTGCTGAGATTTCGTCACATACCAGACCACAAGGGCTGATGAGACTCCCAAGATAAGTGAAGTGGTCTACACGCTCAACTACTTCACTCCCTATCATTAGTTCAGGTGCCGATACAACCCAATCCTGAAGTAACATTTTGCACTTCGAGGGAGAGAATCGCATCCCGAACATGCCTGCATAGTTGCTTATAGTGGTCAGAAGACTCTGCATGTTGTCAGCGTCTTCACCGAGTAAAACTATGTCGTCGGCGTATTCTAAGTCAACAAGTGAGCCTCCTGGTAAAAGTTCAACTCCTGGAGGCTTAGCTGATGAAAGTGCTATCTCTAAAAGTAAGTCAATGACAAAGTTAAACAAGAATGGGGAGAGTGGACAGCCCTGACGAACGCCACTTGTGGTAATCAGTTCTGATGACAGTTCGCCATAGGCTCTAACTCGACCAGTTGTGCTCGAGTAGAGAGCCTTTATGAAGTTAATGTACTTCTTTGGTACTCCTTTCAGTGACAAACATTGCCATAGAACCTCACGATCAACAGAGTCAAATGCCGCCTTAAGGTCAAGAAATACTACTATTGTGGGACGTCTGAATTTGTGTCTATGTTCTAGAACCTGACGTAGGGTGAATATCTGGTCTATGCAACCACGTCCAGGTCGAAAACCAGACTGGTTTTCTCTAGTCTGCTCGTCACGAGCTTTGGTTAGGCGACCTAGTATTATTGAAGCTAATATTTTAGACACTATATTAGTCAAACTGATCCCTCTGTGATTGTCACAGGAGGACGTTTGTCCTTTCTTATAGACTGGCACAATCAGTGATTGGGACCAGTCAGATGGAATTACGTCCAGTTCCCAGATTCTACCTAAGACCTCAGTCAATCTCACTGCTAGTACTGGACCACCATCCTTAAAAATCTCAGGGGTCAACCTGTCAGGGCCTGCTGCTCTCCCTCGCTTCAGATTTCCTATAGCTTTTTCAACCTCACAGAGGGTTGGAGGACTTACATCAATTTGCCATTCAGGACGACTGGGGATCGTGGGTAATTGAAGTGTGGCTGAAGGCCAGTTGAACTGATCCCTAAAGTGTTCTGCCCATCGATCCAACCTCCTGGATTGAGAATGAATAATATGCCCATCTTTATCTGAGATGGTTTCACTGATATTCGGGTTCCTAATACCGGTTTCTTTAACGAGTCTGAATAGCTGCCTACTGTTACCTATTGCCGCTGCCTTTTCCATCTCTCTTGCTTTCGCTACCCACCACTGTTCACGATCATTACGTAGACTTCTTATAAGCCTGCGATTAAGTTGACTCCGCTCTTCGTTATGCTCAGAGCCAGGTGGGATGAGTTTACGAGCATCTATCAATGCGGTAGATGCTGCCGAGATCCATTGTTTCTCCCTAACGTTATGGTTTACCTTATTAGCGGATATCACTGCTGATTCCACAGCTTTTCGGATGTCATTCCACATGGCCTCGGGGTGGACACAACTTACATGGCTGCCTAACTGTTTTTCTAGTTGTTCCTGAAATATATTCTTAGCTTGCCTATCATTAAGTAGAACCCTTAGAGGCTTCCCTGCAGTGTCTTTCCTACGTCCAGTAAGACGCAGACAAATACGTGCTCGCACTAGAGCATGATCTGAATCTAAGCATGTGCCCCAGAATGAGCGACAGTCTTCTATCGAGCCCCTCCATCGGTGGCTGATAGCGATGTGATCTAATTGGGTCCAACGTTGGGACGAATTCGGGGGTCGCCAGGTCAAAAGATGTTTTTCCTTATGCTTAAAGTTAGTATTTGCAAGAAATAGGCGGTTATCTGAGCATAGCTGCAACAGACGGTCGCCATTATCTGTTCTTTTCGCCATGACACCATAAGATCCACCCAGGTGTCCTTCCCTTTCACTTAGTTTACCTACTTGAGCATTAAAGTCACCTGCTACTATTACTACATCAGAACGCCTAGCTTCTCGGAGAAGGTCAGAAAGTTTCCTGTAGAACTCATCTTTTATATCGTCTGAGCTGCAGTCTGTGGGAGAGTAGGCAGAGACGACGAAGAGGCAACGACGAGTTTCCCTATCTTTCCGAGTCCTTACTGATCCGTTTAGTCGAACAGCGCATAGACGACTGTCTACTGGGATCCAGTCTAAAAGAGCTAGTTCTGCCCTAGGACTTAATGCTATACCTACTCCAGCGAGGCCACGGGAAGCAGCATCAGGGCTTCCAGATACACGAAGCGTGTATCGAGATGAAACTTTATTTTGATTAAGTGAAGTCAAATGAATGACACTACTCGGATCTTGTATGCGCGTTTCGGAGACGCAGCACACATCGATGGTGTAAGATTCTAGAGTCCTAGCTAAGGAAGCCTGTTGTCCTATTTGGCACAATGTTCGGACATTAAAAGTTCCTATATGTAGTTTAGAGCGTGGTTTCAGGAGACCAGGAATAACGTTCTGTGTACTCGAATCGTTTGCCCTAGCGGTGCGACGCGATAAAAGGACGTGGGAAGGGTTAGTCGAGGAGATAACAGAGTTATTAGGTGTAGGAAGGATTTGAAAGCGACCAACTTGGTCTTGTGTGCAGTTAAGGGTATGAGGGCTAGTATCACTTCCCGGCTGCCCACACCGTGGAAGAATAAACTGGATGGTCGAACTTATATCAAGCAGCTGAAGTTTGCTAAAAATGCTGGAGAAAAAATAACTATTTTATCCAGCCCCTAAATGCCCTGGTACGGCCGAGAGTGGGGAGAGTCCGCTCTCCCTCTCCAAATGCTCTCACATGGCCACGCGAATATATAGCCTCTGACAGGGAAGTCCTACTCACTGCCTTCTCGTGGCGGGGGTGTTGTTTACGAAATTGAAAGGACGAAAAGCGAATGTCCGGCGCTTTAACCGGGTTGGTGGACACGGAGAGTCTACCTAGGGGAGTTGGAAAACCCTGATTCAAAACCAATGGTGCACATGGGCTCCAGTATCCTGAAGGAACAAATGGCGTATGTACCAATCGTTGGTCACTGGCTACCATGGGACTGTATCTCCTCACGATGCTCCACTGCCTTGTGGTCTAGACCATGTCAAAGACTCCGGGTGTGCCCCCCTAAGAAAACCACCTGCTTCAGTTTGGGGAGCTGGGCAGTATCACAGCCCTCACACAAATCAAATGAGATTTGTGTGGCGCATATATATATCTGGTGCCCCCTTGTACCAATATTTATGTTTAAATAATAATAATTATTCAGTCAAATGATACTTACTTCACAAATTGTCGGTACGATGCTTGGTAATACTTCTGGAAACCGTAAGCAAATATCATATATAGTGTGCACTAACGAAAAACGGTAGACAGATTCGTCAGAATTTTGATCATCTCCAGATGACTTTTCTCCATCACTAGCTGGAGCTGAAGGTCGTGTATTCGTGCTGCAAGCTTTGATAAGTTCCTTACGAAATATCTTAATCAATTCTTCAGCTGTACGAGCTGTCACTAAATCCATCGTTAAATTAAGTGTTTTCTGACGAACTTCCATATCAGATGCATCTATAATAAAGAATATATCAGATGGAAAACAACAAACTTACTTATGATCTGCACGATATCCATAATTAGGTCCTGTAGAATACGCTCATGATACTGACGTAAATCAGTGAGACGTGACAATACAATTAGTTTTACATTGTTGTCACTTTCTTTCAGGATTAAATTAATGTAACAACTTGCGGCTGCCTTAATGGCACTAGGAGCAGAACTTAGTGTTGTCAGCGTCCCTGCAGCTTCATAGCGCACAGCAGCACTACTAGATTGTAATAAGCTGTAAATACAACGAATAAACCGTAACCTTTCAGAAGGTTTAGCGAGACATACCTAGAGAATAAAAAGAACTATGTATGTGTGGACTTACTTTGTAGATTAACTCTACAATTATGAGCTGAAGAATATCACCGAAATTTTGTACTTCATCCAAACAAGAAGTAAGATAATCAAGAGCAGTACTCTGGCTGACATGAAGCAACATCATAAAAGCATTCCTTTTGCAAGAAGAATCTTGCTCTTGTTCGAGGAATCTTAGAATTTTCTCAGGTGCATCCGGAATAAGCGATTCGAAGTTTTTGTATATCGTAAAAATTGCCAGCACTGCATTTCGTCGAACATATGCATGTCGATGTTCCAGACACTGTTGAATAGATGGCATAATAGGTTCCAGTAATTCAGGTTCTTTTAATTTACACAGAAATCGTAAAGTTGACCCACGGATAAATTCATTAGGGTGTTGTAAATCTTTGCGATAAGCATCACATACTAGTATCATTTCATGGAGCAGTTTCCCGTCTGAACTGTACTTAGGCACAACTTCCCAGAATAAAAGCAACAGCTTTTTAATCATGTGATCCTGTGACGGCATAACAAAGCGAATCACAGTCATTAATAAATTTGGGAACTTCTCGCCATTAATAATTAGCCGAATGAGTTCCTTAAGTGCCTCTCTTTTCACATTATCATTGCTGTTCTGCAAATCGTCTTTGAGTTTTTGCTCAGGATATGTTTTTGTTTCGGATGACAAACCGACTAAAGTATAACATATTTGATCACTAGCCATACTTCTTGAACCAGCCTTTTAAATAAATAAATAAATAAAATGTTTAATATCTCTTAAAAACATTAGGAAAGTTTTCTTTACAATATCCACGTAAAATAACTAGCTGCACATACATAGCCCGACAGAAGGTTCTATAACCAAAGAGATAAAGAAACTTCATGATAGCCATCAAACCGACAGATGTTGATACAGATGCATACAATGACAACCTGAGTAAGCAGACAGGGTTTTAAGAAAACGGCCCGAAGTAATTTTGCTTAATACGATGAGAGGATGCACTCTTAATCGGAGGCGAATAGCTAAATGAGCAGAAATATATTACCCCAATAGATTTAAGTTGATATTTCAAGATATGTTTGAGTCAAGACCTGAGATGGAAGCACGTGTAAGAGAACATTGTTGAATTTACATGTTTACAACGATACTGTAACCGTATTTACCGTATATCGAGTCTCTTCACAACAACGTGCAATTTCGTCAGGTTGGGACTAGATTAAAATCTTTATAGTGGTTATAACAATGACTTAGTAGTTCGGTTACTTTAATAACTTGTATGTGGGGAGAGCTGTACTATGTTTGTTTAATAATATTACTCACGCTGAGATATATTACATCTTATTACTAGACAAACTGTATCGCTTATAAAACTACCTATTATTGAGTACAAGCCAGAGAACAAATTTCTGGACTTTTGCCTTTTACAAATGCGTATTTCTTGATTTTGTTCATAATGTCGCCCCAGATATTGTTTTCCTGACTTTTCGATGCTTGAAAAAATGTAAAATCCGTACTAACTGGCGAGTCAACTTGCAACTATAATTATAAAGCGTATATTGTGTGCACATGAAGTCAGACGGCACAAATCGGTGCACATAAAACTCGCCTTACTATATGCAGCTAAATAACTTGTTGAGCTCCAGTCGTTTTTAATACATATTTATTTTGATGTCTTTTGAAACGATATTCTCGATGTTTAAAACACTCTACTATCAACACCACTACTTAGTTTCGTCCACTTTCACTAATGATCATTTTATTTCATCTCATACTAATGTAGTATGATGACATGCCAACACACCCGTCCAGACCAAGTTGCTGACAAATGTAAGATGGTGATTGTCTGACGCCTAAAATCCATAGAAGAAAGTTTGTTGAATAATTAATTGCTAAGCGCTTTACGATAATAGCCGTAACTTTGAATACACTATTTTAAACTTTTGTGATAATGCTAATTATATATTTGTCAGTAACCAAAAGCAGTTACGAACGAGACCATAAGTTTTAAAAATTGCGTCCACTTAGAGCTAGAAATCACTTGATCTGAATTTTTACTCGGTATGTATGTATGTATGTACTAAGTATGTACAAACGCCATTGAAGATAACATGATGAAAAAGTAATGAATTTTAGACCAAAGCAAATCGGCAACTTGGATTATGTTATTTAGGTTTGGGAAGTAGCTATTTTGGTGTACAAATGATATATCACCACTCACAATTATATAGAAAACACCTTAACACGTCGATGACGTAACGCGAATATTAGACTGCGCGCACCTTTTGGTTGAGATGGTACAGGACTTTTGTTATTCAATGGCTGGAGTTTCATATTCAGATTTGTGTAGTAAGGACAAAGGGCCTACATCCTATGTTATTCTTGTTCTAGTATGCTTCTGTGAGTGTATAGTTTTTTCTTGAATTAGTCAATTGAAGGTGCGGATACCAAGGTAACAGGTTCCGAGAATTGATGACTCGGTGTGAAAACATGTATATCACAGGTATTTTGTTCGTTCTTGGTTTCCCTACTCTCCTGTTGCATTCTCTGAGATGTCATGTGAGAAGAGGAGAGGATATATTATGTCAAAAATCATTTATTAGTATTCTATACATCAAAATCAGATCACCTCTTAATCTGTTATAGGACAGAGTAAAGTGGTCTAGCTTTTCAAGCCACCCTTTGTATGATAAATCCCGGAGTTCTGGGAGTACACAGTTAGCTGCTCTCTGTACTTTTCCAGGATATCCGAGCTATATCTTGAACAGGGGCTTGCGACCTGAACGCAATTTTCAAGTCTAGTTCTTACTAGGGTTGTTTATACTGCAATGGACATGGTAGTATCTAACTTGGTGAATGTCCATCTTAAAACCCATAGGATTCTGAACCCCTTAGCTTCAACCTACCGGCAGTGAGCCATGGTCTTAAGATCATGACTTACTGTCACCCCAAGATCCTTGTGAAACTGGGTCGTGAGTACATGCACCTCCCCTATGTTATATCTATTTGCCTTCATATCCCCAAAGTGCATGTAGATACACTTTGTCGTATTGATAGGCATCAACCACCATTCAAACCAGTTATTCACAATATTTAAGCATGTCTGAAATGCACATGCATCCGCGTCACCTGTTATTTCTCACCAGATTCTTACATAATCAGCATATAATAACATTCGGGACTCACTATACCTAGGAGTTCATTTACATACAGCGTAAAAAATAAATGACCTAGGTCAGAGCTTTCAGGTATTCCACCAAGTACTGGTCTCCAGGTGAAGCACTTCGAATTCCCACTTACTTTCTGTCTACGACCTACCAGGAAATCCCTAAGCCATTTTACGAGAGGTCCGACGATGCTAAAATTTTCTAACTTTAATAGTAGCCTATTTGTTGGCGCCTTGTCAAATGGTTTGATGAAGTCTGTACAGACAACGTCTACTGATTTTCCATTGTCTAGAGCATTTATCCATTGCTCCCTTACTATAAGGCAATTTGTTGTGCAAGATAAACCTTTTCTGAAACCGTGTTGTTCGCCGTTTAACAAATTGTTAGTTTCCACAAATATCATAATTGGTCTATTTGAATATTCTTTCCAGTATGTTAACTGGTCAGGATAACAGGTCAGTAGTTTGATGAAAGTTGTCTTGATCCTGTTTTATGTATTGGAGTGACGGTTGCATCCTTCCAGTCCATAGGCAAAACGCCTTGGTCAAGTGACATATTAAATATCACAGTTAGTGGGGCTGCATGAAATTTGTCTCAGGACTTTAGGGTATAGTTCACCCTGTCCTGTTGACTTTTCCGTGTGTAAAGTGTTAATGGTCTTAAGTACATCGTCTCACTCAGAGCCAACAGTTAGCAAACGATCTATTGACTTCGTATTTGGGTCTAGTCTTTCGTCTAAAAGATGCTCCTGAGTGAATATTGCCCCGAAATATTTTCCTATAGCCTCCGCTTTTTCCTGATCATCCTCTGTCATTTCAGATATACTTCCTTCCGTAGTTTGGTTTGAAATACGATGCTATGTCCTTGTTCTGTAATGTATATACGAGAACAGTCTCTTAAGCTGCTTAATTACAGATTGTGCCAATTGCATTTCATATTTTCTCTGAGCGTCCCGGATTGTAGTTATACACTTATTTCTTACCGACCCGCAGTGTTCCATAGTACTTGCTGTACCAAGGATAATAGTAACGACCTGACATTTCCTCTTTTGTCTTGATAAATGTCTGAAGAGCAAGTCCAAGAGAGACGATGAGCTTCGTAGGTCAAATCTGTTGGGATCTCTAATGTGTTGAAATGAAGCTAGTATATTTAAGGTTTCTAACACTTTGCAATGAAATGACGTTATCGATGACACTAATTCTAAGTGTACCCAGTTTATATACGGTGCATTAAAGTATCCTACAATAAGGCTTTTACTCCCATTACGTCAGGACTTGAGTTTGGTTAGGAGGAAGCCATCTACTACACATTCTGAACTGCGGTTTACTACAACCGATTCACTATTTTTCAGTCTACATTTCAGCCTGCAACGCACCAATTCAGATGTCCCTGAATCATGTGCCACTGTCTCAACAGCTCGTATGGTTAAGGTACTTTACGTGTACAGGATAACTCCACCCCTACGGTTTCATCCGTCAGCCCTACTGGATAAAAAACCAGCCAACCAAATTTCATTATCAAACACTTCTGACGCTAACCATGTTTCTGAGACAGCAATAACATCCGGTTCTTCTATATCCACCACTGTCTTGAGCCCAGCCATTTTATATAGTAGGCCACGAGCATTTGTGTAGAATATCTTCTCTTCTGTGGAGGACTTCCTCTTACCACTCAGAATGGTTATGGGATCATTTTGCTCCGAACTTTCACAATTTGTAAACCCCTATGTGCCCCTTCCAGCCAAACAAGTTGGTGAACCCTAGTATGCTCTTCCGGAGAAGAGGCTACTTCGGGGCCCAATAGTTGTTTTTGCACTATTTTTGGTTTTTGGTTTTACTTACTGTCCGGTGATTGCTGGTCACCTATGTACTACATAGCAGTGATTGATTATTCCTTTTTTTAGGTGATAGTGTCTTATTACAGCTAGGATATGGACATTTATTTTGGTTATTTTGAGAGTTATTTTTGTTTATTTTGGTTTTAGCTTCAGTTTTAGTTAGATTGTATAGTGGATGACAAGAGTGAATATGTCTATTTAGCCAACCCAAAGTCTTATACATCTTATTACAGTCAGTTAGTTGACAGTTACATAGGGCTTTATTGGTAGTTTTATTTTGGTGATTATTACTACAATATGTGTTCCTCTCTTTAACTGTGGCAAACATTCTATTGCAGTTTATATTCTGACATAAATGCTTAAGATGTCGTTTTCCTGTTATGTTTGGGAAGTGCTCTTGATATGCGTTTATTTTAACCTTACTGGGCTGGTTTATCCAGTTACTAGGAAGTCGTTCGCCTATTTCCCTAATGTCTTGGAGTACTTGTCCTAACCAGTTCTTGGTACAGGTTTTTCTGCTGTTACTCAGTTTCTTTAAAAATTACTATTTAAAGGCCTTACCATTAGACTATTTGGTCTTTTATGTGCAACGTACCATAAGTTTTGTCTGTTTTGCGTGATTCTATTAGTGATGTTTGACAAGTTTATTTGAAGTTCGAGTTGTTCAACGGTAAGCTGTTTTCACTCTTTTATGCCAAAAAATTATTCGTCTTACTGTGTCAGAACCGTTTCTCATCTGGACCAGTACTGTTTCCTTAGCACTATGGATTCTAGACCGTATTTAAGAATGGGGGTCATTGAAGAATTCACCAGTTTCATTTCAGTGCTAAGGCTTAGTTCTTTAGATTTTAGTATTGCCTTGAACTTAATTATTGCACTCTTAGCTTTTTCTCTGTTATGGGCCATAACACTGTCAGGGGTTCCTTTGTTGTTTATAGTAGAGCCAAGATAGTGGAAGGTTTCTACTTCTTCTATCTCCTTATTTTCTATCTTGACGGCTGATAAGTAGATTTTCTTATTTATTATCAGAGCTTTGGTCTAGGAGGTTGATATTTCCATACCAATGCTGTTTACGTATTGTTGTAGGTGTTGAAAGGCTTTAATAGCCTCTTCCGTCGTATTACTGATTCGACGCAAGCCACCAGCATACTCTAAATGCTTAATCGTCCGAGTCTTATTATGCTGATCATTTAGGATAATCTTTTTAAGGTTTTATCTATTGTGTGTTCTACTATATTTTGGAAGACTAAATTGAAGATAGCCGGACCTTCTTTACTACCCTGCCTAACTCCCCTATGCATTGTGAGATTTAGTTGTGTGTTCCTTAGATAACCCTTGGGGTTATCTAGTAGTTTATCTATGCAGGAGTTTATATTATTTTATGGACATATTTTAGCTAATGTGTCTAAGATTAATTGTTTTGGTATAGTGTTAAAAGCTTTAGTTAAGTCTACGAAGGTTGAGACTAAAGTACGGTTTGTATCTAGAGAGGTTTGAATTATTTGCGCTAATGTTGTTATTGCACGGGTTGTGGATAGGTCTTTCCTATATCCGAACTAAGTTATTGGGAGATAGCTATCAGTTAGTTGTACAAGTTTACTACAGACTATGCCCGCGAATAGCTTTCCTAGTGTGTCTAGTGGGAAGATGCTTCTATAGTTATCAGAGTCTAATCTAAATCCTTTATTTTTGTATAAACCTACCACATCTGCATGTATTCAGTGGGCTGGTATAGTGCGTGGATTTTTCCTTATGTGATTCATTATTTTTAGCACGAAGTTTCTTTCATCGTTTCGGCGTCGATCATTTATTTATAATTCTGCCGATTGTCTTAATACGGTCAACCAGGCTGAGATCCTCAAGGACGTATATTCCGAATCCAATCAGTTTACGTGAGTTTCGTAGAATCTAGTTTCTTTCTTCAACCGAAGCAAAGATAACTTTTAAGGAGCGGCTTTTTTGAGTACTTTCAGAATCCATCTTTTGTCCTGTTTTATAAAGTTTACGGATGCTAACTCTACAAACTGTCTCTGGGAGTAGCTTGCTAATTAAGGACTTTATATGATCAAGGTCGTACTCAAATCTAACCCTTATTCCTTTTGGAAAGGTTCTCTTAACCTACGAAAAATGACTGACCTATCAGCAAAGTCCGTTTTAACAAGCTGTGGAATTTTAATTCCTGAAATCCTATCTTCCCCGAAACCTGATTTAGCTCCGAACGCAGAGGTTTCACTCTGTTCTCTCACTTTTCTTTTTCTGGTTTTGACTTTAAGC